TTGCTAAAATAATTTTTGATACAACATTTATCGAGCACAAATTTCATATTGTTGAAACAGATTTTCCTATTCCAACAGATGGAATCATAGGAAGAGATTTTTTAACAAAATACAGATGTAAAATAGACTACGAGCCATGGCTTCTTACAGTCATGGTAAACGAAGAAGAATTAACAATACCAATTGAAGACAACTATAAAAGGATGTTATTTCTACCAGCTCGTCATGAAGTAACACGATTTGTACCAAATTTAAACTTATCAGAAGATATGGTTGTGTACTCACAAGAAATCCAACCAGGGGTATTTTGTGGAAATACAATCATATCTGCTGCTCAACCAATATTTAAATTTATAAATACTACAGATAAATCAATATACATATCATATTCAGATTTCAAACCTAAATTAGAACCATTTCGGAATTTTCATGTAGTTCCAACTAGAGGAGATAAGGAAATCGACTCAAAGAGATGTAAACGGATATTAAGCAAAATAGATACTGAACACATACCACCCTATGCAAGAGCTAAATTAGAAGAATTAATTACAGATTATTCTGACATATTCCACTTAGAAGATGAAAAATTATCAACAAATAATTTTTACTGACAGAACATTAGCCTTAACGACAATGTTCCTGTGTATATCCAGAATTACAAAACTATTCACTCCCAAGGAGAAGAAATAGAAAAACAAATACAAAATATGTTAGCTGAAGAGATAATCGAACCTTCAGTTTCATCGTACAATTCACCGATTCTTCTGGTACCTAAAAAATCAGAAGGATCAGACAAAAAATGGCGATTAGTTATCGACTACCGCCAACTGAACAAAAAGATTATGCCAGATAAATTTCCTCTACCAAGAATCGAAAGCATTTTAGATCAACTTGGTAGAGCGAAATACTTTAGCACGCTAGATCTGATGTCAGGATTTCATCAGATCCCATTGGAACAGGATTCTAGAAGATTCACTGCATTTTCAACGAATTCCGGTCACTATCAATTCAGAAGATTGCCGTTTGGACTGAATATTAGCCCGAATAGCTTTCAAAGAATGATGGCGATCGCAATGGCTGGCTTAACGCCGGAACGTGCGTTCATTTACATAGATGACATAGTTGTCATCGGATGCTCATTAAGACATCATTTGGAAAATTTAGAGAAAATCTTTGAACGTTTAAGACACTATAACCTTAAACTAAACATTTCAAAATGCAAATTTCTTAGAACTGAGGTCACATATCTCGGTCATAAGATAACAGACAAAGGGATATTACCCGATGATTCGAAATATGAAGCTATTAGGAATTATCCAGTACCCAAAAGCGCAGACGATGTACGACGATTTGTTGCTTTCTGCAACTATTATCGTAAATTCGTCGAAAATTTCGCAAAAATTGCGTACCCTCTAAACCAACTATTGAAGAAAAATGCAATTTTTGTATGGACAGAAGAATGCCAAAAAGCATTCGATTACTTGAGATACCAACTAATGTCACCAAGAATATTGCAGTACTTTACAATTTATACTGACGACAGACGCCTCTGATATTGGATGTGGAGCTGTCTTGTCTCAAATTACTGAAGCGGGAGATCAACCGATTGCTTTTGCAAGCAAAACGTTTATTCCTGCTGAACGAAACAAACCAACAATTCTAAAGGAGTTAACAGCCATACACTGGGCTATTAACCATTTCGAGTCATACTTGTATGGTAGAAGATTCACAGTAAGAACAGATCACAGACCTCTTGTCTATCTGTTTAATATGAAGAAACCAACGTCAAAATTGACGAGGATGCGTATCGATCTAGAAGGATACGATTTCGACATTGTATACATGGTAGGTAAGGAAAACGTAGCAGCAGACGCATTATCACGCATTGTTACTACATCGGAACAACTTAAAGCTAATATTTTACTAGTTAATACGAGATCGATGACGAAAAAATCGATATCTCCGAATAAAAATAAGGAAAATAAAAATTATGAAGATGAAAAAAGGGAGTCTGATCAACCCCGCATATATGAAGCCGAGAGTCCTACGGAAATAAAAAATTTACTAAAACTGTCGACAGCCGTAGTGGACAATATAATAAAATTCAACGTGAGAAAAAGAAACAAGCTTGTCGCACAAGTGCATCAAGATGTAAGAAATGGAAGTCAGATGCTAGAATTTGCTCTTCCAGAAATTGAGAAAATCACGAAATCAAGACGTACGCATAAAATAGCGCTCTCTGCAGAGGATATAATTTTTCAAATAGTACCTTTAAATTACTTTAAATTAATGGCAAATAACATTTTGAAAGATTTGCAAATAATTATCTTTAAGGAACCAAAATTCATTACTGATGTTAACGAAATTCAAACAATTTTACATAATCACCACAACACACCCACAGGAGGACATGTAGGACAACACCGATTGTACCAACGTGTTCGTCAATATTATAAATGGCGTGATATGAAAGGGTCTATTGCTCAATTCGTAAAGCGCTGCGAATTGTGCAAAAGAAACAAAATTATCAAGCATACAAATCATCCGATGGTTATCACCACAACACCATCGAGAGCATTTGAGATCATATCAATAGATACGGTAGGACCTCTACCGAGAACCATTAATAACAATCGCTACTGTGTGACAATCCAGTGCGATTTAACCAAATATATTGTAGTAATTCCGATTCAAAATAAAGAAGCCAACACTATAGCGAAAGCCCTAGTGGAAAACTTTATTCTAATATATGGACATTTTATGGAATTGCGATCAGATCAAGGAACAGAATATAAAAATGAGATCCTTGAGCAGGTATGCAAACTCCTACAGATAAAGCAAACATTTTCAACACCTTATCATCCAAAATGAATTGGATCATTGGAGAGAAACCACAGATGTCTTAACGAATATCTGCGGTCATTCACCAATGAACACCAATCAGACTGGGATGACTGGGTCAAATATTACGAATTTTCATACAACACTACACCCCACACAGATCATAACTTCACTCCATTTGAGTTAGTATTCGGTAAAAAAGCAAACCTTCCACAAGACAATTTCGACAGTGTTAATGAACCAATTTATAATTTTGATATGTTTAAGAATGAACTACAGTACAAATTAAAAATAGCTCACGAAATAACAAAAGCAAAATTAATAGAGCAAAAAATGAAGAGACAAAAGGAACATGAACAAACTCTAAACCCAATTTATATCAAACTACAAGACTTATTTTTTTTTGAAAAATGAAAATAGGAGGAAATTAGATCCATTTTATCTTGGACCATACGAAGTTATATCAATATGTGAACCAAATTGCAAGATTAAAAATACAACTACACGAAAAACAATTTTAGTTCATAAAAACAGATTGATCAAAAACTAAGCAAAATTTTTTTTTTCCCTTCAAAAAGTGTAAAAAATAAGCCATTTACCGAGCCCAATTTCATAAGAAAGTAAAAAAAAATAGTAAAAAAATGGAATGGGTGAAAGTTCTCAATGTCACTGAGAGTGCGAAATTCGGTTAGGCAAAATAAAAAAGTAAAAAAAAAAAAAAACAAAAAAAAAAAGAAAAAAGAACAAAATCAACAAGCAATAAAAATGTTCGAGACAATTGGGGAGAGACCATTTATGTTTGAATAATTCCACCCTGTTACATTATTCTCTCTAAGGGGGATGGTGTAGCATGAGAACAAACCCAAAGCTAATTTACATACATATCCCACAGGCAGCAAATTATAATTACGCTTAAAGAAGCACACCTTCTGTGTCTCTACTTCAGTATCTCTACTCGTTACCACTTTTTACCTCGCACAGCGAAACCCGTACCGGCCGCAGTGCTTTATGTTTATTAGGCGAAAAAACCCAATTTTGTAAAACTGCAAAGGATGCATTTATTGATGTCGCCCCAGCTGTCTCATAGGAAAACTGTATTCGATAACCCCTATAAATAAGAAACGCTGAAATATACGAAGAGGATTATTCGTTCTGAGCTCGACCCAACCGGAGGTTCTCCGATCTTGGCCAATCGACTACTCTGAACAAAGTAATAAGTATTTCTTACTCCTACGGGTTAAGACCTGTAGGTTGGCAAAGAAAGCCCAGGCATGAAGTCTACACGATTCTTTTGAAACTACAACGAAGCGTAGTTTACATTCATTGATACGTTTGTTGTTCTGGATGATAGAAGAGCCTAGCAGAAATAGTGTGAAAATGGTTAGTGAAGCCATGATGGTCATCAAAAAAGGAAATCGATGAAGAAAATTGACCTTCAGCCTCTTAATTCAGTCGTCGTCATAGCAATGTAAACTAGCATCTTAGGGCTGTCCCTTGTAGTTTTTTTCTTCCCGTTTTGAAGTAAGGAGTTAGCATAAAACCGAAGACATCATAACTAGAAGTGTGACAACTTTGCCAGAATCCAGGGATAGATACAGTAGGGATGAACTTGAGCGAAGGTGGAAGCAACGCATAGAAAATTGGGCAAATACTCAAACCGTTCTTCTGAGGCTGTAATCTTTTCTATCAAATTCGTTCGAAACATTTACCATTGAGCGGTAGATGACGCAATTGTACGTGCTCATAGTGGTCGTACGAGAAAATGGAAGAGTTGGCAGTCTTCTTGATGTATTGTCTTATATGAAACACAAAATGGCAGGTGGTATTTCCGGGCGACTTTACAAAGGAATACAAACATATTTCGCTAAGTTACTTTCGAGATCGCTGCCAAACACGAACCCACACGTGACACGCGCAGATTGGGGAGCGCAGGGTGCTTGAAAGGGTCACGAGGATAGTGCTTGCAGCGATAACGAGTACTTTTAGGAATACTTGTTGGACCAAATATCCTATTCAATGTTTTACCTTTACATTAGCCTTTGGGCTTCACTTTATTAGTTCTAAGTGGCACTGAGCTACACAGTTAGTATTCAGTCTGAATATCTGGCTATACATTATATAATTAGGTTTAGAAAACTAATGAAAATCGCATAACTCACCTTTATATAACAAAGTTAGCTATCACGCGTTTTATCACTTCAAGTCTAAGAATAGCACACTCGGTATGAACAATATAGCACACTTGGGTATAATTTTGACTTGACAATTGGGCTTGACGATCTGATCACTCGCACAGGTCTAACTGGAATAACCCTGACTCATATTACGAATATCGCTTGCCACTTCGTATACGAGAAATAAATTCAGAACTCTTATCTATTCCAACGTGTCCTGCTCTGATTGGTTAAACCCACACCAACCGAGGTTGCGTTTCACAATGTTTAGTAAAAGATTAAAATGTAATCGAAGGCTACCACATTAACAAAGTAGTACGATCCGGGCTACTGTAAGGGAGCTATAAATTTCTGCTGTATTTGTTTTTATATATCTAGTGGCAAATCCCGCCACTCCATCAATAGTGGCGCTACCATACCTTAATTGTTACAAGCTGTTAAGGTGGTCGGAAAGCTTACTAAAGTAACGGCAGAAAGCTTTTACTTTCTGTAAGCTACGATGAACGATCCACAGTTGGGGCAGTCGAACAGTAGGGAATGCAAACGCATGGCCAGCAAATGAACAGGCATATACCAACCTGGGCTGTGCAAGGAGTGGAACTGAAGAGCTGAATGTATTGGTGCACTTCGTTTATCGCTCGGTTTTCATTCCGCTTCGCACGATTCGTTTCTTTCGTTCGCTCAATTACCATTGTCGAGACGTCATAACGTTTGTTTCGATCTAAGAGAAGAGGTGACAATACTGGGGCAAAAATGAACCACTTTTCTGTCAAACGTGAACCAGCTCCTGATTGGCCAATTTCATTTGCGTAAGATAGAGATAGAGATAGAGATAGATAAAGATAGAGATAGAGATAGAAATAAAAGAGGAAGAAGCCAATTGTCACCTCTTCCTCTTAGGTTTCGATCAGCGTTTGCATACACTCAAAAACAAATTAAATCAAAAAAGCTTAATAAGTATGCAGATTCCCTCTTCACGTTATTGAGTCCGAGCTATGGTTACTTCGGCAGTAGTCATGCATGATTAAGTTTGAAATAATCTTTCCAGTATTAAATTTTATTCATTTTGAATATTAAAATGTAATCAAAAAAGATTGAAATTCAATCAAAAATTATTAAAAAAGAATAAAAAATTATTAAAATTTATTCAAAAAAGATTATTTTCCATTCTTGTGAACCATGATTAAACTGATTTAAATTTCAGATGATTATATTTTAGAAAGAGAGTATTTATTTTGAATCACTCGATATGATTAAACTGAGTTTAATGTCAAATTGTGTTTTTGCCGCAGTACAATTGATCCTACGCGTGCCCCGTAGTGATAATTTATTAGATAAGTAGGAGAACGGTTGCTGCTGCCGCTGGTTCTCGTTCAATTTTTGTTTTTTTCCTTCGCCCGGCAAGCTATTTGGTATGCTTTTAGTATGCTACGGCATTGTAAATTTCTGCTTTCGTTCGTTTTTACTTGTGGCTCTGTGGTGTGGCATGTAAAGTTTATGTGATATATGGCTGAGTGTGCAATATGCAATTTGGGGATTTTGGTAAGTGATTTGCCGGTTATCTGTGTGGGTAAGTGTGCTCGTGTATTTCATTGCAAGTGCACTACACTTACGTGGACTCAGACAAAGCTTATCACAGATAATGAGCATGTTCTATTCAAGTGTAGTAATTGTTTGTCAGATCAGAGTTGTGACGAGCAGAATGTATCGGTTTCGGATACCAAAATGATGGGGGAAGCAATGAAGCAATTGTCTTCTGTTGCTAACTCTATCACTGGTATACGAAACAACGTTGCTGCTCAGATAGACAACGCGTTGACAATTGGCATGGAAAAGATGCAACAAAATTTGAACGATTCTTTAAGTTACTTTGAAAAATTAATTAGTGAGAAATGGAATACGATGACTATATAGTTCATGTTTTGAAATTAGTACGGAAAAGAAATTAGCTGCAACAAATGGTGCATCTAGGACGGTTCATCCTGAATCGGACCGAAATCCCAGACGCAAAGAACGTAAATTTCAAAATAGTGACAACGATTCGACTGATGATGTTTTTCAAGAAAATGTGATTTTTGTGGATGTTGTAAAAAGATCTAGTCATGCTAGTACAAGTACAAATAAAAATATGTGTAATAGTAACAAACCGAATAATCGTAAAACTCGTCCGGTCATTGTGATTAAACCGAAGAGTCCAAACAACCTTGCGAAGATACTCGTAAGTATTTGAAAACTCAGTTGGATCCAAAAACACACAAAATCAGTAATTTTAGGAATGGTAAAGATGGCTCTATTATTGTTGAGTGTGCAACAGGAGCTAATGTAAATGATGTAAAAACTGATATTGAAAGCAATTTGGGTGAAAAATATAGTGCTGTTGTTCCCACTTCGGTGCCAAGATTGAAAATAGTGGACATGAGCGATCAGTATTCCTTCGATGTCTTCAATGACTACTTAAAAAGTCAAAATGAAGACATCGCTATTAATGATGCCAAAGTAGTGAACATGTTTCACTTATAACAAGTTTAGTGTTGTAATTGATGTTAAATGTTTGTTATGTGCGAAAAAAGTAAATGTAGGGTTTGATCGGTGCTCGATAGTTCCCGCGATTAATGTGTTGAAGATGTGTTGTGATAGATGTTCTAGGTGCAGCCAACAACACAAAACGTCAGAGTGTACGTCAACTGTATTGAAATGTATTAATTGTTTGAAAATGAATAATGAACGTAAAATGAACTTGGACGTCAACAATGCCGCATTTAGCTCGGAATGTTTGCTATATAAAGGACTTTTTGAACAGAAGAAAAGCAGCTTAATGGCGAATACTCCCATGTATGATTACTTTGACTCTGACACTCCAGATTTGTAGTCCGTTCACCGAGAGAAATGCGTGACGACGAAAGAAATGGTCCTGTATAAGCATGGCGATTAGCTTCCAGCTATGACTAAATTAAATCGGTTTGGTTACCTCATATAAGGGCCTTTTTCTGACTGGAATGCATCTAGATGTCTGTCAGATTCACCCATCCCGATGAGATTATAATTAGAACATTTTCTCCCTGCAAAATTATTCATATTTCTACCTTCGAAAATGTTTGTAGGGCTCGTTGTGGAATTGTTCTCCAATTCGGCGGGGTAAGGGATGGTTTAGAACTGTGCTGAAAACAACACTCAATTAGTCAGGTTTCCATTAAGTGTGCTGGTGACATTACCTCTCCAGGCTTTGATTCTGGGGGCGGAGATCATTATCACTTCTCCGATGAGCAGCAGGACAAAATTGGGTGTCCTGGCAGCTAGCTCTTTTGGTTTCTTCGGTATTCATAGAACCGTGGAGGATATCTACGAAATAGCCGTTCTTATTTTTGAGTTCCGAGGGGATAAAAAGCTGCTGTTCGGTATTGTGCTGTCGCTCCTGACATTTCACAGTCGGCGGGGGGTTTGATGGGAGTATGTATCAAGAAACTTTTTTCAGGTTATTCTATCAATGATTTAAACCAGCGGCATCACGTTGTGTGGCAAGTACTACCAAGGCGAAAATAGTTTGTGCGCCACCACTGCCGATGACATGACTGGTTTACAGGTCTACTTGAAACATGCTTTTGCATGAAATGGTCCCTTCAACCACAATATTTGCCCACTTCCAGATAGTATACATAAAATAAAGTCCCCGGAAGAAATAAGCAAAATGAGTTGCTGAGTGAAATACGGCCTCAAAGGTTTTATTGGAGATATAATAGTCAACAAACAAGTAACGATTACAAGAAGCAATTTAATATAGCTGTTTTTTAGGAGTAGAGTTTAAACAATTTTTAACTCCAGGAGCATACCCGAGCAAAAAGGAAAGCAAAAGTAATATATTTATGAAATTATGAGTTTATTTTTCCAGTGCACTCTGAGTTTTTTCAGCAGTAGTGTATACCCGTCCTTTGCATATTTTGTTTAAAATTCAACAAACAAAATTTAAACATCATTTAACAACAAAATACTTGCATACTTTTTCCTTATTTGCGTGGAATGGTCTTTGTTCTGCAAAAACACTTCAGCCTATTGCTCTTTATATAATACTAATACCAATATTTTTTATAATGCAGGTACAAAATAAACTCATCAAAACTTAATGGTACTTAAGAAGGACTTGTTGCCAAGGCATTTTTCTATTCAAAACCATCTATTGAAGAAGCCATTGAACAGCTAATGTATCTAAAATCACCATTTAACTACACTCCACATAGTTGCAGAGTAAAATCAAATTTACACAGCAATAAATTTATCAGATTTTCCAGATCTTCCAGCGGGTTATGTCGTGACCACTCGGAACAATTGAACCGCTAATATAACAAAAATCACCATTTTACTACATTTCACGTAGTTGCAGAGCAAAATCAAGGCCTACTTTAATCAAATTTACGCAGCAATACATTTTACGGATGTTCCGGATCTTTCGGCGAGCCACTTGGAGCCAGTGAACAGCTAATATATAAAAAATCATAATTTTACTACATTATATACAGTTGCAATGAAAAATCAAGGCATACTTTGATGAAATTTACTTAGCGACCAATTTTACGGATATTCCAGATCTTTTGGTGGGTCACCTGGTGACCATTTGGAGCCAATGACCAGCTAATATTTCAGAAATCACCATTTTACTGTATTCCATATAATTGCGGAGGAAAATCAAGGCCTACTTTGATCAAATTTACACAGCAATCAATTTTACGGATGTTCCGTATCTACCAGCGGACCATCTGGTGATAACTCGGAGCCATTGAACAGCTAACTTATGAAAAATCACCATTTTACAACATTTCTCATTGTTGCAGAGAAAAATCAAGGCCTACTTTGATCGATTTCATGTAGCACTAAATTTTACCGATGTTTCGGATCTTCCGGCGGATCATCTGGTGACCACTTGGAGCCATTGAAACGCTAAAATATCTAAAATCATTAATTTACTACATTTCATATAGTTGCAGAGAATAATCAAGGCCTACTTTGATCAAAAATACATAATAATCCAGATTAAGGTTGATCCAGATCATCGGAGGGCCTTCCGGTAGACGCTCAGTATTTAGAACCAGGTTATGGGTTGATTTTGTTAAAATATTAATCAGCACTACCCATAGATGCCTGTTGCTGTGGATTTTCAGCACCACCTTGTTCTAGACGACTGGTACCTTTTCTCCCCACGATGGCCTCTCGGAAACCCGGAATAAAACCGGAATCCTTGGCCAATATGTTCCAATTTTTAGTAGACCATAATTTCGAACATTTTTCTACTCACTGTGAAAATTTCAACCAATTTCATGGTTAAACAAAAAAGTTACACCTATGCAAACATTGCTATTCGTATACCTGTTCGTAAAAATAAAAACTGCACAAGCGCGTTAGGCCCTCCCCAGAAGTAAAGCAGGTGGTGTTCGTTTGAAACGCTAATAACTTTTCGGAGGTAACTCGGATTCACATCCGGATGTTCCCAATACTTCAAAGGTGCTACATTTTGTACACGAAGAAAATCGACCCACTACAGCGCCACCTTGAGCCGCGAATTTTCGTTTTAAGCCTCATTGAAGCTCATAATATTTGCTACCAAACTGGCAAAGTTTGGTGATGGTAAACTCAAAAACAAAAAAGTTATGATTTTTTGAAAATTTCACGATTTTTAAATTTACATTTAAAACACATGTTTTTCAACCGTGTATATTTTTTCAAGAATTGCATTTTAATTTTGT